GTCACTGGAAACAAGATGGATTACGTAACATGAAGTTCATTGCTATTTATCAATGATTTATTGAGTTTCTATTATGCTCAAAACTGTCTACTTAATCCATTTAGTCATTTATAAGACTATTTACTTTAGACTTGATGAAGTTTATAACATTGAAGTAACGTTCAATTTGAATAATTCACTGTGTTCCACATTATCGTTTCAAGCTTAAAACGGTAATGGGCGCTACGAGACCAATCACATTCAAAATATCAGATCTTTGATTCTAGCGCGAAATTCATTAGCATTACAACTAATGTCATTTCATGATAAAAACCTTAAATCTAATTCCTAAACTCAAACATCAAATGTAATTTATAATCTTTATTCTTCATAATCTTTTATAATCTTCATTTAACCTACTAAGTAGATTAATATTCTGTTATATCTTGTGACCGCCGATTAGAGAGCAATAACTTATCGATCGGAACAATGACGCGTAAACCCGTATGAGTAGCCTAGAGTTCTCATTGATCCTGCATTCCGCCTAGCCCAGTCAGTTAAGTCCAGAACACTAGTCTCAACCTCCGTAATATGAATCCTTATATTTCAAACATGCTGAGTTTTTATACCAATCAAACAGACCACAACGTACCAATAAAATATGAAACGACATTTGTACAAGAATTAGCCAGAAGTGGCTGTGAATGATGGAGGTAGTAATCAATATATTGGGTATAACTCAAGAAAGGTACAACGTATGATAACAGTTCATAGGTTAAAATAAAGTTTATAATAAGAGGAATATGAGTATGAATAGTTTAGTCATTTAGCAATTATGCGATGAAAGTGTACGCATAGTATTGGTCCATAAATGGATCCCAAAAGTTGCCATTCACTATGCTTATCCGGACATAACTTATTCCAAGGTCATTCAGCGTTCCTCAACGTCATCCATCTCACCGTTATAATTTCTTTTTGTCAATATTTAGGATTGAACCTAATGAGTCTTCATGTAGTACATGTGCCAGCGAAGCGGATCGACACAAGTTATGAGTTGGAATTTGAAACAATAAGCACTAGGTTCTTGTTTCGTTACGTGTATCAACGTTTAGAAGAAAGTGTATTTAACTGACGAATTTCAAATAAGATAAAACATATGTCTAACAATCAATTTTTTCTTACATAGCTTGAATATATTCCAAACCAATTGCTGTTCGGAAGATCCAGAACACTTTTTGAAAAGAAAAGCCAAAAAGGCTCTGAAAACATTGAGAAGCATCTTTTCCAATTAGCATTCAATAGAAGTTTGGCCAGAAACAACAAGAAAAGTGAAAAGTCATATGTTGCGTTTTTGATTGGATGATTACCTATACGGCTACTATGTTTGGTAGGGTTCCAGAAATTACCGGGAACTCAAAACCATCCAAAAAATATTATAAATACCCTAGATTCTCTATGTATAAGCGAACCTTTGCAGTAAAGCCTCTCTTCTATATCACGCACCTTTTCTCTCGTCTTCAGGTCACTGCGTAGATTTAACCTGGGGCTTACCAGAAGAACTTAGGAACCGAATCTAGCGTTCAATTAAAAGACTTATTAAGTGCTTTCGTAAAATCGTCAAAACTATCTACAAAACAGTTCAGTTCTATGCTTAAATAACATAAATTGATCATCCGTTGCATTTCTACCGTTTAATTTCTTACGAAATGATATATGACAAAAAAGTTTACTTCAAATTCATTCACTGAAATTTTACAAGTACATCCTCACATCAACTCAGCTCCCAAATATTGTGAAAGTATTCGATCAAATTAAGACGAAATTTCTTATATTTAATAGGTTTCTTTCTTTTATTAAATTTATTCTAGTATGGAACTCCTCAGTAGTGCATATCCACAGTTCTGCACGCGGAATTTGAACTCACGACCTTCGATCTCGCAAGCGAATGCTTAACCTGTAGACCATTGAGGTAACCGGCATTGCACGGTTTTAATGTCTAACTTCAACCAATTCACGATATTGTGCCACCGTTCACTAATGTCAGTCCCAACCCAGAACGAAACAGCTGTCCAATACGTTCACAACTCAGCTCCCAAATATTGTGAAAGTATTCGATTAAATTTAGACACAATTTCTTGTATAACAATAAAGAACATCCATTTAAATATTAACATTTTCGTAATATGACTTTACATGTATTAAATATTAACATTTAAATATGTAATCATATATTGTATAATGAAATCAATGAGAAAAACAAAAGCAATTCCCAATGGTAAACATTAAAACCCCCTAGTAACATACTCACACACACACAGAAAGAGAGAGAAAGAGAAGGAGAAAGAAAGAAAAGAATACCAGCATAAGTTTGTTTTCCTAGAATAATCCACAAACAGTGTAAAAATTGAAAAACTCAACAAAAAGTTAAGTACTCAATGTAAGTTATCATATACATACCTGCATACCTACCTACATACATACCTACATACTTACATGCATACATACTTACTACATACAAACACACACACATACATACATACATAAATACGTACACACATACATACCTGCATACATACTTGCATACATACACACATACATGCTTACATACATACATACATACATAAACACACATATACATACTCACATACATACATACCTACAACTGCACGCATACATACTTACATGCATGCATACATGCCTACATACTTACTTGCATACATACATACATACACACCTACATACTACTTACATGCATACATACATACATACGCACATACATACTTACATGCATACATACTTACTACACACAAACACACATACATACATACACAAATACGTACACACATACTACACACATACAAGCCTACATACATACATACTACACGCATACATACTTACTTGCATACATACATACATACATACACACATATTTACAAACATACAACATACTTACGTACGCACACATACCAACTTGCATACATATATATATACTTAGATACATACATAGATATTACATTGGTTGTGATGGTGCACCTCTTGATGTGAATGCTTTAATCACAGTTGGTGCTGATGTTAATATCCCTAATGTAGTAAATAAATTTAATGCAGTAAATATTAATAAACATAAACGATCTAATACACGACATGCTAAACGCCATTGATTTGATGTTTTTATTTCTTTATCTTTATTATGCATATCGGATGTAATAAAACGTAATTCATTAGAAATTTGTTTTAATTTTAATAGAATTATATCAAAATTCATAGAATCATTATTATTATTATGATTCTGTTTGAATGGACTAGAACTACTTGGATCAGTAATTCTATTTGGAGATGAAAATACTGTGGATCTTGATGATGATGATGATGATGACGACGCCGACGACGACGAGGATGCTGGTGGTAGTGGTGTTGGTGATGAAGATAATGATGAATCACGTGGAGATTCATTAGATGATGATGATGATGATGATAAATGAAATCTTGGAATTGTTTTATTGAAATATTCTAAAAAGGGATGATCAATATGATTAAATTAGTTGAATTGATATAATATCAAGGAATAACAAATTTAAACAACACATATTGTTGTTTGACTTGAATCTTCCCATTCTTGTTTAGGACAACAATTGATCAGTCTCTTTTATTGGCATATATGCATCCTGTGTGGATAATCTCTCAATATTACCTTAGATCACAACCATTATGAACATGGATGGATAGTAGCTAACAGTGAAATCCATTTTTGACAAGCGTTTCGTTCGATTTTGGACTCGTTAACTGGATGTACCTGTATCTTATAGTTGATCAATTACAGTTTCAAATATCAATGGGAGGATTCAAGTAAACAATTTAAACTTCACTCTATTGTACAAGCAAGTGGCTATCAGAATTCAGCAGCTAAGTGAATAACATGATGGTGTTTGATGGGTTTGAGTCCCAGAGTGAGCATCAACTCTGTGATGCAGGTGCATCCGCTTGATGAGTCTCAAATAGGACGAAACGCGCCTCTTGGGTTCTACTGCTGGCCACTATCCATCTTAACTCATATAGAATGATCTTGAAAGTCACTGATCCGTTTTGGGGTAATCAGAAAATAGGACGATAGGTTTCTTTAACCGTTGATCGAATTTGATGAATATTAAAGCATTAAACAAATACGATATTAGTCAATATTCAGTGATTAATCAATTGTAAATGTCCTGGTCTTATAAGAGGGTATTCATGACTGAACTGGATCAGTTTTAAATGTTCTATACTGTGAAACTTGATGATATCAATCGGAATTATGCACTGAAACTATCACTTCCTTTAAGAATCCAAATAGACTTTGCAGATGAGTATAAACTAGTTAGAAATCAATTTTAGGAAGGTTTTAATTATCCACTAACTCATTCCACCTAACACCAATACATAGTGTATGAGATGCTGAATTACTCAGACTAGTGACATACCTTATTACAATTCGATCGACAAAATTCCATCAACATTAAAGGACTAGATAAATCAAACACTACTCACTATTCAGTAATCAATCAATTGTTTTTCCACGTCATTTTTGACGTTATCGAGGAACATTTCGTTTACAAGTTATAAAAAGTGATGATTGTGAAAGGACATTATTTCTTGGTCGATATTCAGATTAAGAACTAAGTTAAAATGACTTAAGAATTACCATCTTATATGTAAGACATTTTGTCTAGATGTGATCGAATGGTTTCACAATATTTGGGCGCCCTCAAATGCTCTGGTACGACCGACACTGGGGAGAGTTAGCTCTCCCTCACGAAAGATTCCCACATGGCCATGCGTATAAAACCAGTCCAAGGGAAGTCCTACTCACTGCCTTCTCTCTGCAGAAGTGTTCTTTACGAAATTGGGAGGACAAAAAGCGGGTTGGTGGACACGGAGAATTCTCTTAGGGGAGTTGTAAAACCCTCATTCCAAACTAATGGACTCCAGGATCGTGAAGGAACAAATGGCGTATGAACCAATTGTTGATCGCGGACTACCATAGGACTGCATCTCCTTACGATGCTCCAATACCTTATGGATTAGACTCTTAGGTCAAATGCTCGGGGTATGGCCTTCTAACAGGATCATCTGCTTCGGTCTGAGCACCCGTTCAGTATCCGAGCTCTCACATAAATTATTCGATCTATGTGACGCATATCTGTTCGGTGCCTCCTCGTACCAAAGTTTATGTGTTTAAACAAATGAATAAAATTCAGTTGTTGAGTACTTTTGAAACTAAATTTATCCCTATAAACACAGAAGTCATTGAAATGTGATATCGTTTACGAAATTTAATTCCAGTAATTATTATGTTTCATTTATAGTAACTGTTATCACTAGTACACCAGTATTATTTTCGAAGCATTATTCAATTGTGATTATACAAATGAATTAGAAATGTTTAAGGTTAAACGTAGGGTAATAGATGAAGATAGTAAATTGGTTTAATGGAGCAATTAGTTGGCTAAGATAACTGGAACATGTACCACGAATATCTAATTAACACTTTGTTTTAGGCAATATGGTTGTTGAAGTAGTGATAAGTTGAAAGAAACCTCAAAGTGACTAGAGCAAGACGCACTATCAGTGCATGAAGTCACTGAAGACACAAGATATACCGATCAAATCACACTTGACGGAGAAGATTTGGAAGATATAAAAACCTGTACATATCTGGGTAGCATCATTGATGAACACGATGGATCTGGTACAGATGTGAAAGCGTGGATCGACAAAGCAAGAGCAGCATATTTATAATTGAAGAACATCTGGGACTCAAAACAACTGTCAATCAACACTTAAGTTAGGATTTTCAATACAAATGTCAAGACAGTTTCAATGTATGGAGTGGAAACCAGGAGAACTACTAAAGTCATCATCCAGAAGATACAAGTCGTTATTAACAGTTGTCTATACAAAATACTTCGGATCCGTTGATTAGATACTATCAGCAACAACCTACTGTGCGAGAGCGAATAAACCATATCCCAGAAGAGGAAGAAATCAGGAAGAAGTGTTGGAAATGGTTAGGACACACATTGAGGAAATCACTCAACTGTGTCACAAGGCAAACTCTCACTTGGAATCTTCAAGGCTAATGGGAAAGAGGAAAGACCAAAGAACACATTACTTTGAGAAATGGAGAAAGACATGAGAAGAATGAACAACAATTAGATAGAATGAGAAAGAAAGGTTCAGGATAGAGTGGGTTAGAGAATGTTGGTCGGTGGCGTATGCTCCATCGGGGTATCAGAAGTAAGTAAGTAAGTAGTAAGTTATTTGCTCTCCTTTTTACTGAACTGATTAGAAACAACCATTTGAAAGGATGTTCATTAATGCTAGATCATACACTGTACACAATTGCCTTACTAACTTACTTTCTGAATGAATGAATGAATGAAAAGGTTAAAACATTCCACAACAACAAAAATCACACCATACTACTTACTTGACTTTTCAGTTAAATTTCGTTTGCATGTATATTGTAACCGACTAGTTGCATTTGTTCGACTATTCCCTTTATTCTCTGGTATTGTAGTAGTATTAGTGGTATGATAAGGCATATTATTCAATGGTTTACCTAATAAATCTGTTGATAATCGATGTTGATCACAACGATCACGATCATAATCCGGATCCAGATCAATGAAATAATTTTGTTGAATTCTACTTTGTAATTCAGATTTCAATTTGATTTGATTCATGAATAAAGATTTTTTCATATTACTATTATGATTAGGATTATGTTTGAATGGTTTATGAATGACAATTGCTGGACGAAATTCCGAATTCATATCAATGATATTGGACCAAACTGTAGCATTTCTTACATTATTATTACCATTACCATTATTATTATTATTATATGAATGATTAAGGTGTATATGATGATTGATTTTATCATAATCATATTGATCTAATTGAAAAGAGTTTTCACTAGGGATTAATTTTTCTTTAGAATTTTTTAAATTTGGTTCCGTTTTATTATTATTATTATCACCATGGTGATTATCATTATTGTTAGGATCCGATAGATCATGATCAATTCTTAGAATACTTGCTAACCATATATTAATTAATGTTTCAATCTGTATGAATAATAATAATAATAATGAAGACAGAAAAAGAATGTTAATGAAAAGAGATCAATAATTCATATTTCATCATCATCACCACCACCACCACCACCACTGAGTTAACTAATTCTATGAATTTGGTGTTCATGTTATTGTGCTAATGAGGTATGGCAACTTGAACTGACGCATATATGTGCCACTTCCCATGTTGTAGCTGACTGACCGACTAACAGTCATCTCATAATGTTATGTTTGTGGATACAGTCACCTCTTTCTTTGCATCTCTACTCTACTGAGTTCAGTGAGTGCCTTTATAAACACTATTATGACCGATAGAAGTCGCGAATAAACTGAGATTGTCTAATCAATGAGTTGGCAAAATTAAATTTTTATGTCTTATGGTTTCATTAGGTAGGATAGTTAAACGTTTTGTTGAGCACGTTAGATCCCCAGAACTCACTTGGCAAAGGACCTAATTTTGTAATTTTATCTAGAAAATTTGAATTTCTTTGTTAGTGCGCTAAAGGCGCTCTTCTCACCTTCATGTCGTATTTCCCACTGGGAAATATCTTAAATGCTATTGGTCCGTCGCGTCTTTTAGTATGCTATTTGGTAACTCTCTCCAAGGATGGTTTTGTACTGTATATATACGTTTTGAATTGTGCTTGCTGGTATCGCTCGTTTCTGGCTGTTTTGTAGAGTATACTTCCCCATTCCAACCTTAGACTTCTCCCTCTGGTTAACGGGGCTGGGACGCATTAAATAGCTAGCTTACGGGTCTTTGGTCACCGAGTCTTTGTTCCGTTCGCAGATTAAATGAACTCGTGATAGCTTCAACCCTAGCACCTTTACGCCACCTTTCTGACTCAGTTTTGCTTAGACTGAATAATTATGAATGCAAATTGTATGTGCTCATGAGTTATTATGGAAGACTTAAAATGAAAAATTAACAGCAACAGAAATAAATTTTAATGAAAAGTGGTCAATATTTCATATCCATTTTTTTATTGTTCAACGTCTTTTTTTATAGTAATTTTAATGGCTGACATCATAACTCAATTAATGGTGGATCATCATGAAAAGCCTAGAAGCACTGGAAGGCTGTTTCATTGGATTGCGGGACTCCTCAGCAGTGCACATCCACCATCCTGCCTCACAGGATACAAAACTAGGACTTATCGATCTTGCGCGCGAACACTTAATCTCTAGACCACTGAGTTAACCGATGTCCAACGATGTTAATATTTAACTTCAAATAGTCCACGAAATTGAGTGACACATTCATCATTGTCTTCAGTGAGTTACTATCTCACAACAAATCCGGTTGAACTCCACTAGTCACGACTTCTCACAAGAACTCCAGGATATACCTCTTGAAGTCAGTCACTATTGAGCATATGCTGATGAATATCACAAGGGGTTTTTGTGGATATTATAATAATTTTGATAGTTAAGATTATGAGTCAACTGATTATCATTTTGAATTTTCTTTAACTTTATGTTAATTGTTGAAATAGTGAGTTAAGAAACTCACATATTCAATGGTTAATTCATAAGTATCCACAGTTTTATCATTGTGTGTGTGTGCTTTGAAACAAGGAGTAAACTGGTTACTTTTGATTAGTTAAAGACTAGACCTTCACTTTTCACGGAGAGCGCTTAGCCATTGAACTACTATGCTTAAGCATGATGGTAAACCTTTCTAAAATTGATCTACATGCAACAAAGTGATATGATCATCCAATGAAGTTAGTGACTACAATTTCAATCTCAACATGGTTGAACTTCGTTGGTCATTCCTTCCCACTGGAAATTCAGAAACTCTTCTCGAACTCATTAATGAGCATAACTACAATATTAATGATGAGACTTTAAAGTGATTATTTTGATGCTTATCTTAGGATGGACCTGCAGGTCCTGAATTCGATGCAAGGTGTGGTCGCGGGTGCTGATAGGAAAGTCCTACGCTATCAGGAACGAGCTGTACATTGCTCTGAAATTTCCATTAACTAACAAGGATAAGCGAATCCACATCGAAAAAAGTCAATCAGTTTTGCACAATGTAGAGCCTGACACTACATTAGCACAGAGAGATAAAATTATCATCACATATCCAAGAGCAGTAAACTTAGTTGCAGTATCATTAGTAGTAATAATAGTAGTATGGTCAGCACAAAATATCAAGAATGTCAGAGAAATAAAAGATATGAGATTTCGCGACTCAGGTTCTAAGAGGAGAACAAAGTGTGAGTAGATCTACGCTACTGAGAACGATTCTGAGCCATATTGTTCAGATATTACTTACGATGATCACGCGGACCCCGACCAGGCAGTATTCACATTTCATAACGGCTCAGTTTAATTGCGAATGACTTTATAGGCCATCGACACATTTTGATTTGGCCGCTTCTAGCTTTCTTCCAGCCTACTCCTATACTAAACACTATTACTTGTCGAAATAGGTAGTGGTTGGGAATATGTCATCTTTGTCCTAACCACCTCAATTAATGAAGATTCCTTACCTACTACGTCAACAGATTAACCATCTTTAAACATAGTAGCTTATGCCTTAGTCAGAGATTATTAAGACATATTTTATAGCGAATTATTGAAGAATCCGAAAATTCCATAAACTTACCCACCATGGTACATAAACAATACCTCCTGTATGATGATGACAATTTAACAAAACCACAGCGCATACCAATGAAAGTGAACAAAGGATCATTGTGCATGTGAAATATAAGACTTTTGACAATTGAACAGTTTGAATGATTTGAAATAAAAGATGAAAAATAAGAATATTTGGAAATATTAGTCAATAAAGTTAGGATTAATATGATAATGCATTTGTATTGTTTGTTCGGATCTTCCTATTGATGTTTAAAACTGTAGTTTATTAGTCTCTTGTTGGCATATGCTCATCTTGTGCGGATTGCTTCGATATTGTTTCAAGTCATGAGAATTATAAGGGAAGATGGATGGTGACTAACAGTGGAATCCAGAACGTGCGTTTTGTCCTATTTGGCACTCGTCAACTGAATATCTTTGAATCTCAGAGTTGATGTCCACTCTGCAACTTGAACCCAATATTGTTCACTTCAAACGCCATCACGTTGTCAACTTAGCTACTGATTCTTGATAGTCAACGGGTTTGAGTCCCGTAGTGAACATCAACTCTGGATTGCAGGTATATCCGGTGGACGAGTCCTAAATCGAACAAGACACGAGTCCTGGACTTCATTGATAGCCAATATCTATATGATTTTTATTTTGAATTGTTACTAGCCTAATGTGGTTGCTATCATAATACATATATGGTTTGTTCAATAAGTGTATGAAGTAAGTTACTAAGATTTTTTAGCTATGGATATAATCAAATAGATGACCAACAATACTTTACTTGAATGCTCACCATATGAAGGATTCAAACCCTAACAATGTCTTGACTGATTACTACTGAACAACTTCACATTTCAATTAAATACCTGTCGACTGCTTCCTATTTTTCAGTGACCATTCAGATCCAGAAAGTTCGTAGTGTTCAATGCTTAACCCTTAGCAAATTCTTTGTTGATGTTAAGTGACTACATTCAGATTGCAAGAAGATACTAAAGTCTAAGTTTGTTGAAAGTTGGTTTCATCAACAAAGAGTATATGTATTTATTGAAGCCATGTCACTCAGTATCATAGTCATGGATATTACAAATGAACGACTGAGGCTACGATAAATCTTATGTTGAATTTAACAAGATTACCAAGATGAATCTATCACGAGGTCCTAACTCATCTCATTTTAATGGTACTTCAGTCAAATCTTGTTCTTCAACTAAGAAAATCAATACTTTGGAAATTTACTCAAAATTTCACTTGGTATTGTTTTACTTGAATCTTCCCATTGATGTTCAGGACTGCAATTGATCAGTCTCTTATTGGCATATGTGCATACTGTGTTGTATTGCCTCGATATAACCTTTAATTCACAAGCATATAAATGCAAAGATGGATAGTGGCTAGCAAGGGAACGCGCATCCTGGATTCCACCGCTAGCCACTATCCATCTTTGCATATACTCACAACTATTATAACATAAATTGCCTTCAATTGATTATAGCCATTATATAAATTATTAAATATTCATAGAAACTAACCAAGTACAGGATTTCCTGATGATGTTTGTGGCAGTTTATCAGCTACTAATTGCAATAACATTGTCAACGAAAGTAAAGTGGTAACACCTGTTGGAAAATAAAATAAAAACTAAGGAACAGATGAAACTTGACAGATAGAAATCGTAGATGAAAACTTTGACAAATAAAAAATGCCACAGATTGAAATCATGAGCCAAATGAAGCTAGACCATCCTAGAAAACCTGGAAATACTGGATGGCTGTTTCGTCCTAGTATGGGACTCTTCAACATTGCGCATCCACGATCCCGCTTTGCGAGATTCGAACCCAGGACCTATCAGTCTTATGCAGATGTAATTATAGTTGACAGAATATTATATATTTTCATTTCAACGGAAACAAAAGAGAACGATCTAAATTCAACAAAGTAGAAGTGATAAATAGAGGGATTTTATAGAATTCATGCAGTATCTCAAGGTCATATGGAAGTGACAAGTGCTAGCGTGAATAAGCTATCATGAGCAAATAAATTACTCACATATTCAATATCATCACTCATCTATCTTTGCATTATCATATCAGTATCATATATGTATACTCATAAATTGCATAAATAATCTTTCGGCCTTTATCAAAAAGCTTAGTACATATTCTTGATCTTCTTACTTCCATAACTAGCTAAGTCAAGCATCGGAAGGCGTGAGATCGTGACAGAATCATAGGGGTAAACGATAACATCGTTTCTTTTTCTTCTTAAGATACTACTATTCATGAACTTGGAAACTTTCCGAAGAAGATTTCGAGAAGCATCGTTCTATTACTATAAGCCTTCACACATATGAATTTAAATGATTGATTTATTGTATCAAAGAGATTTAAAAAGTCTTTGTGATTGACTGTTTTGTCAAACACGATCAACATGTTTAGTATGGGTTTGCGGAAACTATTATGTTTTTGATTGAGATCACAAATCGGTTGATGTTAGACTGCCATTGAAAACTTGGAAGCATTTGACGGCCGTTTCGTCCTATTGTGGGGCTCCTTGGCGGTGCGCATCAACGATACCGCGTCAGATCGATTCGAAACCAGAACCTTCGGTCTCGCGAGCGAACGCTTGACCTCTAGGCCACTGAGCCGCGATCTAACGGTGTTAATGTCTAACTCCAACCAATCCACGAAATCGCACAACCATCTTCAGTTATACTTAGGTAGAAACCTGTTTCTACCTGACATGGATTAGCTCCACTGGTCACGGTTTCTCACTAGAATTCCGAGAATTCCCTCGAGAAGTTATTCCCTGATGAGCACATAGTAATTAACAGTATAGGGTTGTGGAGATTATTATGTTTTTGATTGAGATCATGAATCGATTGGTGTTAGACCACCATTGAAAACCTGAAAGCACTGGACAGCCGAAAGTCATAGGTTCGAATCCCGTGAACGGGATCGTGGATGTTCACTGCTGAAGAATCCCACAATAGGACGAAACGACCGTCGAGTGCTTCCAGGTTTTCAATGATGGTCTAACATCCATCGATTCGTGATCTCAATCAAAAACGATTAACACGTTATCTACAAAATGGTCATAATATTTTCAATCTTATTTTGCTGTGCAATGATTCATTCTTGTGAAAATTCATCGTACCCACATAAAGTGGATATTCAATATTTAAAGTGGCCGAACCAATGATAAAAGGGAGCTCACTTTTTTAATCAATCAAATGCAAATAACAGACTGTTGTTACTTATAAATAGTACAGTTAGGTAACATTCTATCTTACCCAATACAATTTTCTCATTGGCTTCAGGTGGTAAGGTGAATACAAGTAATGCCATCATTGACATTATCATACATGGTATGATAATATTGAACATATAATACAATGCACGACGTTGCATATAAACATAAATGGTAACATCAATGTATGTTTGATCTTCACCACCATAAGTTTGTATATTACGTTTAATGGAAGCACCTAATGTGTGTGTGTGGGGGGGTTGTTTGTTGGATTTTGTAATGAAAAACAATTGAAATAAGGAAATCAAATGAAAATCTATTATGTAAGTATATTACATAATGTAAATAATAAAATTTGGTTAGATCATTAACAATGACTAGTCAAGGAATCTTCAATGAATCTTTCATACTTTTGGAGACAAGTCTTGATTAGTATAGAATAGATGGAATATGACTAGCTATAGTATTCAGGATGTATATTTCGTCTTATTTGGAAATTGTCAACTAGAAAACATTAACAACCGGATATTTCAGAAAATCATTCCAAATAGTGAACGAGGATTTAGTTGGGGAAAACCAATTTATTTTTTCATTGTAAAATTACAGAATGTCTCCGTACAGTATGTAAACTATACATTAAATTCATAATCTGCACATCTTACATCAGTTGTCTCTTAAAAGCTTCATCGTTCTTTCATTCCAGTTGTTATTATAAGTGCTCTCTGTTCTCCTTTCTGTTCACTTCAATTCAATCTTCTCAATCTTCTGCTGTCAGGCATTCCACTTCTGACTGGTGTTACATAACACTTATGTCTGTTAACATAAGTAGCATACACCATATATATATAGCTCAATCAAATGATTGAGTAAAGTAATTTCTTTAATTTCTTGTGATTGTCTTCATTTCAACTATTTAAAATGGATGAAAAAATTTGCCCCAAAGTGCCCTGATACGGCCGAGGATGGGGAGAGTTAACTCTCCTTCTACAAATCCTCCTACATGGCCATGCGTATACAACCACCACCAAGGAAGTCTTACTCACTGCCTTCTCGTGACCAGACAGTTGTTTACAGAATTGAGAGGACAAAAAGAGAATGTTCGATGGGGGCTTTGACCGGGTTGGTGGATACGGAGGACTCACTTAGGGGAGTTGGAAAACCTTCATTCCAAACTGATGGTCGATAAACACAATTCATTATCCTACATAAAATTGATTCAATACATAGATGACTTACTTTCTAAAGCCCATTCACTATGAGCTAAATAAGTAGATAAATCAACATCATTCATATAATGACATGGTTGATCTACATCTTCAGTTTCATTATCACATTGTAATTTTAAATCTACTGTATTTCCTTGATAAGTCCATGTTCCAAGTTTCATTATACAATTCTAAATGATGATATAAAAGTCGTGATGGTAGTGACAATGATCATAATAATAATAACAATAATAATAATAATAATTATTATAATAATAATAATAATAATAATAATAATAATGATAGGCGCTTTTTAACTAGGTTTACCTTTATTCCGATGTTAATGTTCACACTGAGACTCGAACCCAATACTTGTAACTTTAAGTGCCTTATCCACTTAACTAGTAAGTTCAGATAGCTACTAACATATTTACACAAGTATGATGCTTATTTGAATACTGCTATTCACATACATCTGGTTGACAAGTCTTAGATAGAACGAAATGTCTGTCTTAGATTACAAAACTAGTCACAATCCATGCATTCTAAGAACTTTTAGATGGTGGTTGGAGGTAGTCAACAGAAAACCCAGGACCAGGGTTTCGTGCTACTTGGCACTCGTCAGCAAAGTGTACCTGTAATCTTGAGGGAACTGGTGCTCCCTGACGGATTCAATCCCGTTTCACCCAGCTTCACAGTCAGAGACGTTACTATCGAGCTATCCAAGCCGTGACTAACCTCCTGTAGGACTGAGATGTAATCCGGGTCCAGGGTTTCCTGTTGACTACCTCCAACCACCATCTAAATCTCAATACATAGTGCCCACAGTGTCGAGTCACCTAGACTGGTGGCCACATTGCAACATGATCGATAGCATTCGATCTGCACTAAGAAGGACTAGACAAGCATGACATTGATCACCACCCAGTGATCAATCAATTGTAATTCTAAGAACTATTTTAAAATTTCACTGCTGAATACGAATATCAACTGAGAATCTTAGTGTTGTGTTCTTATGCCCAACTAATTGTATCATGTGATACCGCTGCTAATTAGAGACATCGACTTATACGACCAGACTAATGACACATAAATCTGTACGAGCAGCCTAGAGTTCTTATCGGTTCACCAAGCCTAATAGCTTCCTTCCAGACCCAGCAGGTTTAGTCCAGAACGCCAATATCAGCCTCTATCATACGAATCACATATTTTAGACATACTGAGTTTATATACAAACAAACCAGACCATATGATACCATAACATAAAAAATAATTATTGTGCAACATCAAGCCAAAAATTAGCTGTGATTGTGAAGGACTATAACTCGTAAGTTGAAAATAAGTCAGGAATAGTAAATTGTATAATAATAGTCAATAGGTGAAATGAAAGCTTATAACAAAAGGAACATGAATATACATATAACCTAATTACACGATAGTTATCCAATTATTTACTATTTATTTCAAAAAATAGATAATGGTACAAAGAGGTACCAAATAAATATGCGCCACACAAATCTCTTTCCCTATGTGTGAGGGCTGTGATACTGCTCGGGTGCCCAAACCGAAACAGGTGGTTTTCTTAGGGGGCCACACCCCGAGCCTTCGACCTGAAGGTCTGACCCACAAGGCAGTGGAGCATCGTGAGGAGATGCAGTCCCATGATAGTCGGTGACCAACAATAGGTTCATACACCATTTGTTCCTTTAAGATACTGGAGCCCATGTGCACCATTGGTTTGGAATCCTGTTAAAGCGTCGGACATTCGCTTTTCGTCCTCTCATTTTCGTAAACAACACCCCTGCCACGAGAAGGCAGTGAGTAGGACTTCCCTGGCAGAGGCTATATACGCGTGCTCGTGTGAGAGTATTTCGAGAGGGAGAGCGGACTCTCTCCACTCTCGGCCGTACCAGGGCATTTGGGGGCATCCAATAGGAATATATGTAATAATAGTCCATAAATAGGTGCTATCAAACTCACATGGTATTGTTTACATGAATCTTCCCATTGATGTTTAGGACTGCAATTGATCAGTCTCTTATTGGAATATGTGCGTACAGTGCGTATTGCCTTGATGTTGTCTTAATCCATAAACATTATAAACAAAGACGAAACGTGCGTCCTAGATTTCACTGCTAGCCACTATCCATCTTTGTTTATAGTTCCTATTAGTTACCATTAATCTATTCTTCGTTGGCTCTTGCCAACCTACGTCACTTATGAGGAAGGCGAGATATCCGTCTGTCAATTGTAGGATGAATATACTTTGCGGCAGTTTCTTCTATTCTCCTTCACGGCTGCGAAACGTGACTACTAAAGGTGAAGGATACTCTTAAGTTACTATTATTTGATGACAGATGTCTTAGAAATATTGCCAGTGTCTGCTGGGATCACCGGGTAAGTAATAGTGAGGTTAGAAACAGGGTATTAGGGAATGATGATGGTAAATCAGTTATTGAGGTTGTGAATCTTCATCGACTGAGATGGTTGGGTCACGAGTTACTTACGCCTGAACACCGATTACCACGAGGTGCAACGCTAACTGGTGTTGGAGATGGTTGGAAGAAAGTTAGGGGTGTCCAATCCATAACGTGGCACCAGTGCTTAAAGTCACTATCTTCTAGTCTGAGTCATGTTGGTAGATGCAGACTACTTGGTTTGGGTCCGCGTGACTATTGTAACCAATGGTTGGAGACTCTTGGTGACATGGCTTAAAATCGATCACAATGTTGTCGGTGTATACACTCTGTCTTCCCTTAAACTAAGAGATTAAAATCGCTTCATATCTTTCCTTATATCCAATCTTTCTTTTATATATTACTACCACTGAATTAACTACTTTTATGAATTCGGTGTTCATTTTGCAGTACTGAGGTATGGCAACTCGGACGAATGCATGTATGTGCCTGCTCGTAAGTTGTAGCTGACTGACTGACTGACTGGTAATGATGTTAGAAATGCATGATAAACAGAGAAAATCTGAAATGTCTAAAAGTATTTTGAAAGAAAATTACTTTGTCCACATTTTGTGTGTGTGTGTTTAACTGCTAAACAGATACTTTCCTCCTAATAGTTAACTACCATTTGACCTCATTTATGATTGTTGTATCCTTAACAGTTTAATTAATCATCCATGTCAAATCTACTTATTTGTGATGTGTTATGGTCACCTATTTTGCTTAGATAATAACCATGTTAGTTAATAGTTTCATTGATATACATATAAGGATGCATATGACCATTGATTCAATTCAGTAATGTTTAGATTTATGATTTGTGAATGCAAGAATTTCATGCTACGAATATGGTATCATAGTCAGTGGATTCAGTGTGATCAATAAAGATTTTTGATGTCTGTTGAATAATTTCCATATAATAACGGGTCCTACGAAACAATAATTGGACAGCTTAGAACCAATTAGACGATTTGGACTTCGTAGATAACATAGCCCTCCTATCCCATACACACGAACAAATGCAGATGAAGACAACTAGTGTGGCAGCAACCTCCGAATCAGTAGGTCTCAAAATACACGTAGGAAAAAGCAACCTACTCAAACGCAACACACAGAACACCAACGCAATCACACTTGATGGAGAAACTTTGCAAGAGATGAGATCCTTCACGTATCTGGGTGGCATCATCGATGAACAAAGAGGAACGGATGCAGACGCAAAAGCGAGGATTGGCAAAACAACGACCGCATTCCTACAGTTGAAGAATATATGCAACTCAAAACACCTATCTATCAAAGTCACAATCTTCAATACGAACACCAAGACAGTGAATTCTATTGTACGGAGCTGAAACTTTGAGAACTACTACTACAACCATCATCAAAATAGAACAAGTATTTATAAATAGTTGTCTACATAATATACTCAACATCCGTTGGCCAAATACGATCAACAACAGGCTACTGTGGAAGAGAACAAACCAGCTCAAGTTGAAGAGAAATTTAGGAAAATACGTTAGAATTGGATAGGATATACAATACGAAAATTACCAAACTGCATCACGAGGCAAGCCCTAACTCGGAATTGTGGAGGAAAGTGGAAAAGAAGAAGGTCAAAGAGCACACTGTGTCGGGAATTGAAAGCAAACATGAAAAGGATAAATAACAATTGGAAAGAGCTGGAAAGGATTGCCGAGGACAGAGTTGTATGGAGAGTGCTGGTGGTTGGCCTATGCTCCTCTGTGAGGAGTAACAGATGCAAATAAGTTACGAAACACAATTAATTTACACTGATTGGATATTGAGTAGTGACCAATGTTTTATTCATTTGGTCCTCAGAGGTGATCAAATTCTGCTTAACAACTTGTAATATCTCCACCATTCTAACTATTTTGTTATTATGTGAACTATAATTTGATGTTAAAGTGTGATGGATAGTCAGAGAGTAAATATGGACCTAAATTTCGTGCTGATTAACAATCATCAGCATGTCTTACTTGGAATCTTAATGGGACTGATCCTCTCTGTCATGCTAAAATCTACATAATCAAGTTTCACATATCGAAACCTTACCATCAATCTATTCAAACTATCCAATGACATGTTAGGATATAAAGCTGGGTAATGCGGATACCAATACAGGAGGTATCATTTTATATTTGAATTTCTTCTTCAATTTTAATCAACGAACAACTATTCCTTGTTATCATGTATTGATACCACTGTTCAATTAAACACATAGATCCATGAATAAATAAGACTTTCGAATATAAATACTGTGGATTACATACTTGGTTCTACCGTGCGACTAATGTAAGTAAGCTGAGATTGAGCGTTGAGTGTGGACTGATAGACAGTCAACTTATTCGTTATTTAATATGAGATTTCTTTCCTATCATTGATTTGCACCCTTGAGTCATTGAGTGTAGATTACTTGTAGTTTCCAATGTTGGTCTAGCATTGATCGGTTCATGATTTCAATGAGATCCAACAATCTCCACAACTGCGCTGAATAAAGTATTATTTAGTCTATACTCTACGTCTCTATTTTTTGTTGACGAATCGTGTATCTGATATAACGTGATCCCAATTAGTGTATAGCACATTTATCGACTATCCAGATTAGTAGTATAGTCACTTATCATATTATAGTAGTATAACGTGGCAAACAGAAAAATAAACTTTTTGATTGAGATCATGAACCGATTGATGTTAGACCACCATTGAAAACCTGGAAGCACTGGATGGTCGTTTCTCCCCATTGTGGGACTCCTCAGGGGTGCGCATTCCTAATCCCCGCTCGCGGGATTCGAACCCAGGTCCTTCAGCCTCGTGTGCGAACGCTTAACCTGCTGGGTCACTGAGCCGGCATCCAATGGTGTTGTTGTCTAACCTCAACCATTCCACGAAATTGCGCGACCATCTTCCATTGTACTGAGGTAGACACCTGTTTCTGCCCGACACGGCGGGTTTGAATCCCGCGCACTGCTGAGGAGTCCCACAATAAGACGAAACGGCCGTCCAGTGCTTCCAGGTTTTCAATGGTGGTCTAACATCAATCGGTTCATGATCTCAATCATGAACTTAACAATCTCCACAACCCCTAAACTGAAAATAAACTTTTGTTCTACTATTATCTAAGGTTTTAAGTAACACTACTTATATAACAACTAGTGATAACATGTAACTGCATAAATCGAAGACTATGGAGCATAATTTAAATTTTTAATCGATTGCTTAAATGTGAAATGATCATAGTAATAAACTATTGCTTTCTAGTAATTCTTTAATGAACTGTTAGGTCCCGACAAGAATAATGAATGGTAACTTTTGGGATCTATTGATGGACCAATACTAATCGTGCATTTCTATATATAATGTATAATTATGTATAATTATTAAGTACCTAAACTATTCATATTCCTCTTATTATAAGTTCTATTTTGACCCATAAACTATTATGAAACGATTTACTGCTCCTGAGTTATGCCCAGTATATTGATTACTACCTCCCTCATTCACAGATACATCTGGCTAATTCTTGTACAAATGTTGTTCCATATTTTATTGGTACGTTGTGGTCTGCTTGATTGGTATATAAACAGAGTATGTTTGAAATATAATGATTCATGTTGCAGAGGCTGAGACTGGCGTTCCGGACATAACTAGCTGGGCTAGGCGGAAAGCAGGGCCAATCAGGACTCTAGGCTGCTCGCACGTGTTTTACGCGTCCTTGGTCCGATTGATAATTCACTGCCCTCTAATCGGCGGTCACAAGGTATAACATGAACATAGTAACTAAACGGCTAATTCCTTAAATATGGATACATAAATGGATAAATACACGTACACACATATATAGTTATAGTTGTTACTAACCTGTGAATCGAATGGGAACCAATTCACTTCAATATCACAAATAGAATGAAATAAACCCGGTGGTACCCATTGAATATTTCCAGTATTTCTAACAATGACTTTCGTTGGAAAAATTTGATCAAATTTTTCACTAGCACTAAAATAATTGAATTACAAAATGGATATAATGATGAATTGTGAATGAAGATTTTAATGTATTACATAATGACATGTTAATTCACGCACCATTGAAGTGTATTGAACAGCTTTTCTAACTCTTCTAATGTCAATTTTGTTGAGAGACGCAGCTAAGGCATATTTTATACTATACTTAGTCTGTAGATAGTTGATTGTAATAACTCTTATTTATTTTAACACATAGATATTGGTACAAGGAGGCACCAAATACATATGCGCCACACAAATCTCATTCGATATGTGTGAGGGCTGTAATACTGCCCGGGTGCCCAAACTGAAACAAGTGGTTTTCTTAGGAGGCCATACCCCGAGCCTTCGACCTGAAGGTCTAATCCACAAGGTAGTAAAGCATCGTAAGGAGATGCAGTCCCATGGTAGCCGATGACCAACAATAGGTTCATACTTCATTTGTTCCTTTAGGATACTGGAGCCCACGCACACCATTGGTTTGGAATCCGGTTAAATCGCCGGACATTCGCTTTTCGTCCTCTCATTTTCGTAAACAACACCCCTGCCACGAGAAGGCAGTGAGTAGGACTTCCCTAGCAGAGGCTATATACGCGTGCTCGTGTGAGAGTATTTCGAGAGGGAGAGCGGACTCTCTCCACTCTTTGCCGTACCAGGGCATTCCGGGCTCGTTGTATTTAATGCTATTTAAGCAATAATCTTAGCTGCATCTTGTTACCTATATTATTGTTACATATCATCTCCTGTTAAACGATGTCAAGTTTTTGGAGCAAGTACCGCTGCCTACAACAAAAAACATTATGGGACAGAGGTGAAATGTACTAGAAGTGGCATTGGTAATATGAATCTGTTTTCATTTAGCGACGAAAGAAAACTTGGACGAACTCGTCATGGTCAACATACAAATTAATTCACACTATTCAAACAAAGTGCTAATGATGTCGTTCAGGAGAATAATGAAAGCTCCACGACCAAACCATCCAGCTCAGAAAACAAAACTCCATCATAATCATTCAAAACAAAGTAATCCTACCCAATGGTTACCATAGTAATTCAAGAGGAAATCCTAAGAGAATAGTTAGAAAGTTATTGAATATTAGACATGAGATGATCTATAAAAAAAAACTGTCTGAATTTCTTTCGGTGCATCACCAGACCACATCTAATATTTAATGAACTATACTTGTCGTAAATGTATAAACAAAACATTTCAAATTATTTCTCCCCCATGCAACATTAGGTATCAAGGTAGATAGTAGTTGGGTTCACGTAACACTTAAATCAACTATCTTAGTTGTTATAGAAACACTACCATATCGATTGACATTTTTTTTCATTCAGCAGTCTCAATATACGTCAGTCATACTTCGAAGATATTTATAATCCAACAGGGGAATGAATACTTAAATGAATTCTACTAGAACTCATCTGTTTGAGTATTTTAAACGCCCCCAAATTCCCTAGTATGGCCGAGGATGGGGAGAGTCAGCTCATCCTCTCCGAATCCTCTCACATGGCCATGCGTATACAGCCACATCAAGGGAAGTCCTACTCACAGCCTTCTCGTGGCATTACTGTTGTTTGCGAAACTGAGAGGACAAAAAGTGAATGTCTGGAGCTTTAACCGGGTTGGTGAATATGGAGGATCCACCTAGAAGAGTTGGAAAACCCTGATTCCAAACTAATGGTGCGCATGAACTCCAAGACCCTGAAGGAAAACATGACGTATAAACCAATCGTTAGTCAATAGCTACCATCAAACCGTATCTCCTCACGTTGCCCCACTACCTTATGGATCAGACCATCAGGTCAAAGGCTCCGGGTGTGGCCCCCTAAGAGAACCACCTACTTCGGTTTCGGCATCCGAGCAGTATCACAGCCCAGACACAAACCAAGTGACCTGTGGGACGCATATGTATTTGAAGTATATTAAATATTCCCTCTATTACTTAGCATGAATATGACATTACCAAACAGTATACGTTTTTTAGGATAGGCATAGGATAACAGAAAGAACAAGATAACAAAGAGAATTATTCACCTACCTATTATATAATAGAATATCTGGTTTCCATATTCTCTCTGGTGGTAAATTTATCTGTCGAATATTTTCATAGTCACTTGCATTCCAATGGAAATGATAATCTGACCATTTCTAAAAAGAAATTTAGTTTTGAAATAGCAAAAAAATAGAATTGGTTTGATCAGTTTAATATGAGCCAACCTTAACTCTTACAATTAACCCTCCCCCCCAAAAAAAAAGTTCTCTCAAGAAGGAAGGATGATATATTGATCCAATCGGACATCGGCAAAATGTTAAGCGTGAGCGATTGGTCAAGATGTAGCTTTCTTTTCGAAAGAAAGATACCCCTCATTTATCAATATACTTATTTAGTTATTACTCGTTTAATTATTAAAGGCTTCATTCTTATTCAAGCAGCTAGTTGAACTTGTTATGTATGAAAGGTTTATTTGTCAGTATCAGAATTGGATAATGTACAACACAACAGTCATTATTTTTGCTCCAGCGAATCCAACATATCATCTTCCCTTTGAACTGTTGGTTAACGTATTGAAATTGTTCCTAAGTGTTTATATTAAGGCATCAGGTCATGATGCATACATCCCAATGAAAACTGATAGTGATAGCAATAATAATAATGGTGGTAAATCTTGTATTGGTTGTTTGAATCTTCCCGTTAACTCAATGGATTACGCGAGGGGATTTGAAGTGAACAGTACTGGGTTCGGGAATGAACATCAACTCTGGGATCCAGATACATTCAGTTGACGAGTCCAAATAAGGACGAAACTCACGTCCTATATTCCACTGCAGAGCAACCATTCATCTCTGTTAATCATAATAATAGTTTAATTCATTATGAGAAGTTTATTCACCCTAAGGAATTCTTAGCATCATTTATTCCATATTGCAATAAATTTCTGTTTAAGATACATTCAAACTGTGATTACATTCTATGAATGGTCTTTTTAATAGTCAGTATCTGTAAGACATTTTCGATGGTAGAAGTTCTTTGTCAGTTTATTGATTTGCTTTTCTCCATCCTATAGCGAATTCATGAATTCCAATATATTCGTCTCTCACTTTTTTCGAAAGTGTAGACAAGGAAGAGAATATACCGACAGGTGTAGTGTTTCGTCATGAGATCTCCAGCGTTTAGCATCACGAAAAGGTCATGAGTTTTTCGTAATAACATGTTATTACGCACAGATGAGATTCATATTCAGTTCAGACAAATGTAATACATGAAGATTTATTACAATATTCATACAGTTGGAAAATAGGTGACTCAAACGTTTGAGTAGACCTCTGTGCAACAAATGCAAGCCGAAATATCAACATTAGGAATGTAGAAAGCTCCTATACTAGATAGCCTCGGGAATTATTGTGACTTCACAGGCGCAATTCAACTATACCCGTCAATTTGTTATAATTACAACGTTTAGAAAACAAAATAAAATTTAGTGTATCATCAATCTTTAGTGTCTTATTGGCTAGCTCATAGATAAACACTAACTACTCGAAAACCCCGTTTGTTTGTTTGTAGTGGCCAAAACTCTTTTAGTTGGTAAGATATTTACTAATATTAAAAATTGATCGTTCGATCAGTAACGAATGTCTTACTTACTTACGCACTTACGCCTGTTACTCTTCACAGAGGAGCATAGGCCAACCACCAGCACTCTCCATCCAACTCCGTCCTCGGCAATCCTTTCCAGCTCTTTCCAATTGTTAGTTATCTTTTTCATGTTTGCTTCCAATTCCCGACACAGTGTGTTCTTTCACCTTCCTCTTTCCCGCTTCCCTCCACGATTCCGAGTTAGGGCTTGCCTTGTGATGCAGTTCAGTGATTTCCGTAATGTATATCCTATCCACTTCTAACGTATTTTCCTAAATTTCTCTTCAACTGGAGCTGGTTTGTTCTCCCCCACAGTAGACTGTTGCTGATCGTATTCGGCCGACGGATGTTGAGTATATTATGTAGACAACTATTAACAAATACTTGTTCTATTTCGATGATGGTTGTAGTAGTAGTTCTCAAAGTTTCAGCTCCGTTCAATAGAATTCACTGTCTTGGTGTTCGTATTGAAGATTGTGACTTTGATAGATAGGTGTTTTGAGTTGCATATATTCTTCAACTGTAGGAATGCGGTCGTTGTTTTGCCAATCCTCGCTTTTTCGTCTGCATCCGTTCCTCTTTGTTCATCGATGATGCCACCCAGATACGTGAAGGATCTCATCTCTTGCAAAGTTTCTCCATCAAGTGTGATTGCGTTGGTGTTCTGCGTGTTGTGTTTGAGTAACTTGCTTTTTCCTATGTGTAATTTGAGAACTACTGATTCGGAGGTTGCTGCTACACTAGTTTTCTTCATCTGCATTTGTTTGTGTGTATTGGATAGGAGGGCTATGTTATCTACGAAGTTCAAATCTTCTAACTGATTCCGAGCTGTCCATTGTATTCTGTGTTGCCTCTCTGTTGTCAAGGTCTTCATAATCCAGTCGACCACCAGAAGAAAGATGAAAGGTTAGAGTAAACAGTCTTGTCAGACTTTGGTCCTTACTTGGAGTGTATTTGTCGGCTATCCTCCATTAACGACTTTGCACTGCAATCCAACGTATGAACTCTGGATGATGTTGACGATCATTTCAGTTACAGCATAGTGTCGAAGAAGTTTCCACAAGATCCTGCTGTCCAAACTCTTAAACGCCTTCTCATAGTCAATGAAATTGATGTATAGTGACGAGTTCCACTCAATTGATTGTTTGACGATGATCCGTAGTGTCACACTTTGGTCTGTGCACGAGCTATCCTTACGGAATCCAGCCTGTTGATCTCGAAGTTGAGCGTCCACTGAGTCTTTCATCCGGTCCAGAAACACTGTTTAAAACTTTTCCTGGTTACGATATTAGTATGATGCCTCTGTAGTTCTCACACTTGCTCAGATCTCCTTTCTTTGGTATCTTGGTGTGGTGTCCTTCTTTTCCCTCTGTAGTCACTTTTTCTTCTTTTCAAATCTACCTGGATAGAAGGTGAAGCATGCTTGCAGTTATTTTAATATCTGACTTCAGTGCTACGGCTGGTATATTGTCAGGTCATAGTGCTATTCTACTTTTGATTTGTCTGATGATTTCTTTGATCGCTGTGGAATGACATCTATAAGAAGGTCTGTGTTCTGCTTCATTGTCCGGTGGATTCAATGGCGCTAGTCTATTCAAAAGTTCTTCAAAATGTTAATCTCATCTGTTCCTCCGTTCTTGAATCTCAGTGATTGGCTTGCCTTTTATTGTCCTTAACCGGTCTCTATGATTTATCATATTTCCCTGACAGTTTCCTCGTTCTGTCATATAGTTGTCTCATATTTCCTTCTCTTACAACTTTTTCTACTGTCGTTGTTAATAAAGAATAAAACGTTGTGGAGAATCTGGCTTTTGTTAAAAATAATTCTTTATCTCCAGAGTGAGCATCAAATCTGGGATGAAGGTATATCCAAATGATGAGTCCAAAATAAGACGAAACACACGTCAAACTAGATCCCACTGCTAGCCACTATCCATCTTTGAACTTTTATTGTGAGCTTCGACTACACTTAAACATTAACCTTAACCTCATCAATTGATCTATGTTAAATCATAAAGTGTTAGGCTATTTAAAGCTGATGACAAGTCATGAAATATAATAAGAAATTCATTCTATCCTATGAATCCTGTTGTTTTTATTGAGTTCGTATATTGCTCTTAACTTGGATAATGGTAAGTTTCTAAAATATAGTTTCCCATGATATCATCAATTAAAATCTGGAGTATATAGCCAGTACAGATCATTATTGTATAGTAATTCACAAATGAAAGAACTTACTAAATCAAGCCAAATGATTGTAGATAGAACTTGATTTTTTTCATCCTAAAATGTAGGTTAAGGATTATATAAAAAATTAAAATCAGAAAGAGTTTGTGGAGATTTTAGAAATTTCACAGATTGAATACATGAGTCAATTAAAGCTAGACCACCATGGAAAACCTGGAAGCACTGGACGGCTGTTTCATCCTATTGTGGGACTCCTCAACAGTATACATCCACGATCCCGCCCCACCCCGAGAGATTCGAATCCAGGATCTACCAGTCTCGCGCCAGGCGCTTAACCAACTGGACCAATGAACCAGCATCCAATGATGTTAATGTCTAACTTCAATCAATCCACGAAGTTGTGGGGTGCGGGATCGTGGATGCATACTGTTGAGGAGTCTCATAGTAGGACGAAACGGCCATCCAGTGCTTCCAGGTTTTCCATGGTGGTCTAGCTTCAATTGACTCATGATTTCAATCAGTGAAAAAATTAAAAGTAAATTAACATTTCAATTAGTTATTAATACAACATATAGAGCACTAATCAAACTACATTTGACGGAGAAACTTTGGGAGAGATGGAAAATTTTATCTGCTTGGACAGCACTATTAATAAACAAGGGGGGTCTGATGCAGTTGTAAAGAGACGAATTGACAAAGCAAGAGCAGCATTTTTACTACCTAAATAGTTGAGATCATGAGTCACTTGGAACTAGATCATCATGGAAAACCTGTAACCATTGGATGGCCGTTTCGTCCTATTGTGAGATTCCTCAGCAGTGAGCATCCACGATCCCGCCTCGTGAGATTCGAACCCACGACCTATCGGTATCACGGGTGAGCACTTAACCATTAGACCACTGAGCTAACCGGCATCCAACGGTGTTAATGTCTAACTTCAACTAGTCCACCGAATTTAGCGACACATCCACCATTGTCTTCAGTGAGCTACTATCTCACAACAAATCCGGTTGAACTCCACTGGTCTCAACCATTAAAATTACTATAATATCCACAAAACCCCTTCTGATGTTTTTACAATAGGAAGACATTTGAAACTCAAATTAACTATGAGGAAACATGTAATTCACAATTCTTAATACAGACATCAAGATGGTTCCATTGTACAGGGCTAAAACTTAGACAACTACTACAATCATCATCAAAGAGGTATAAGTATTTATAGACCGTTATTTACACAAGATACCCCAGATTCGTTGGTCAGATACCATCAGTAAAAATATACTGTGGTAGGGCAAAAACCACCTTCCAACTGAAGAGGAAATTAAAGAAAACTTTGAAGGTGGATGGGACATGCATATCGGAAATGATTAATTTGTATAACGAAACAAGCCACAAATTGGAATCCTCATGTCAAAAAGAATAAAAGAAGACCAAAGAATAAATTAAACTGAGAATCGGAAGGAGACATCAAAATATTTGAAGAGTGCAGGATAGAGTAGATTTCAGACCTCAGGTCAGTGGCCTATGACTCACGGGGAGTAACAAGCGTAATTTAGTAATTAGTTGTGTTTTTATGATCAAGGAGTGGTATCAGTTAGAGATTTGCTTTAAAAATGAGAATGATAGGTTGGACAAGTCTAGGCATATCACAGACCTATGCTCATATAGCATCTCATGGTCAAATGGTGGGTGAAAGATTACACCCTACAATCTTCCTAATTATCGCTTAATCTACTGGTTTACGTGGCAGTGAAACATGGCCGGTAAGAGTACTGCATATTCGTAGGTTACTAGTATTCAATCATAGGTGTCTTCGAACCACTGCTCGTATATCCTGGGACCATCGAGTAAGTAACGCAGTTGTTAGGAAACGGGTACTAGGTAAGGATGGCAAATCAATTGATAAAGTTTCACCACTTCATCAGTTGAGATGGCTGGGACACGTGTTACGTATGCCCAATCACCGACTGCCTCGACGTGTTATGTTCAGTGGTATAGAAGTAGGTTGGAAGAAAGCTAGAGACGGTCAGACCAAAACATGGAACAAGTCCATGAAGTCACTGACAAGTGGACTGAGTCATATTGGTAGGTTTAGACTACCTGGTTGGGGACCGCGAGATGATAGCAACCGATGGTTAGAAACTCTGAATGGCATGGTTCAAAATCGTTTGCAATGGCGCAGGTGCATACTCTTTGTGTTCTCCCAAATTCTAATCTCCTTATTCATCCTTGTCTCCTTTTTTTCTCTTCCCAAATTTATTTCACTGTACTATACTCTTTAAATAACATCTCCAAACACTAATTTTCCCGATTACTGCTTATACTCTTATTACCTCTACCACTACGGGATTTGAATCGGCCACTGCATCTCTGTGCTAATGTGGTGTGGCAACTCGAACTGATGTACGTACGTACATACGAAGTTCTACGTTGTTGCTAACTGACTGACTGACTGGTTTGCATAATTGGAAACGTATGTATCTGAGTCGAAAAATGCAGAACGCAAGATAGGAACTGAACAACTATATTCTTCTAGCTTAGGATTCTGCAGCAGTTTGTATCCGAGAAAATACACCAGTCCCACACTAGAATTTTCAAGTTTCATGACGACAAGTATTATAGTTATTCACTGAGCTGAAGCTCTGTGATTCACACTAACTTTACAATACAATATCACCTCTGAGTTATTACTTCATTCACAACTTATTTAACCATCCAAGTCAAGGTTACTCTGATTAGAACAATTAAGAGTTTATAATTTCGAAGAGAACAAACCAGATTCCAGTGGAGGAAGAAATCAGGAAAAAGCGCTGGAAGTGGATAGGACACACATTGAGGAAAGCACCCAACTGCGTCACAAGATAAGCCCTTACATGGAATCCTCAAGGCCAAAGGAAAAGAGAAAGACCAAAGAACACATTACGCCGAGAAATGGAGATAGACATGAGAAGAATGAACAAGAATTGGATAGAACTAGAAAGGAAGGCCCAGGACAGAGTGGGTTGGAGAATGCTGGTCGGCGTCCTATGCTCTATTAGGAGTAACAGACGTAAGTAAGTAAGTAATACCATAGAATCCCTGTGTTTTGTTCAATGACTTTTGTTGAGTGATTTTTATCATTCACTGAACATATTATACCTAGAGTGCTCTAGTACGTCTGAGAGTGGGAAGAGTTAGCTCTTTCTCTACAAATGCTCTCACATGGCCACGTGCATACAACCACGAAACTAAGAGAACGTAAAGAGAATGTTTAGCGCTTTAACCAGGTTGGTGGACACGGCGGTTTCACTTAGGGAGTTAGAAAACTCTCATTCCAAACTAATGGTGCACATGGGATTCAGGATCCTAAGGAAACAAATGGCATATGAATCTAAATAATATTATTCTTAAATCTTCAATACAAAGTTATGTTATATGAAGATAATCACTTACTACATCCATTATTTGATTAAGGAAACATTTAAGAAATACTTGTACAGGTTTACCATCTACTGAAACTGGACGTTCCATTGGATTGTGGGCATCCCATCGTTTTTGATCAAATAAATATTTTAATAAACGTTTCTCTGAATGACCTGAATCAACTATTGTATAAATAAAAATAAGAAATTGAAGTAACTATTTGAACTATGTTATAAAATTGTAATCATTATCAGAATGAAGAGGAGGGTTTGTGGAGATTGTAGTAATTTAATAGTTAAATTCATGAGGTGATTAAAGTTAGTCATCAACACTGTTGTTTGCCGGCTCAGTGGCTTAAAGGTTAAGTGTTCACGTGTGAGACTGAAGGTCCTGAGTTTGAGCCGCTTTGGTGCGAAATCGTGGATGCAATCAATCAGTCAGTCAGCTACAACGTAAGACCAGGCACATATATGCATCGGTCCAAGTTGCCATACCTCATTAACACAACAAGATGAACACTGAATTCATAGAAGTAGTTAATTCAATGGTGGTAATATATAAAAGAAAGATTGTGTATAACCACATAGTACAGGAAGAAAGATTTAGTTCGTAGAAAGAAAGATATGAAGCGATTTTAATCTCTTAGTTTAAAGGAAGACAGAGAGTGCATACACCGACAACATTGTTATCGATTTTGAGGCATGTCACACAGAGTCTCCAACCATTGGTTACGATAGTCACGCGGACGCCAACCAAGTAGTTCGCATCTACCAACATGGCTCAGATTAGAAGTCAGTGGCTTCAAGCATTGATGCCACGTTTTGGTTTGGCCACCCCTAACTTTCTTCCAACCATCTCCAACACCGATTAGCATTGCACGTCGTGGTAATCGGTGTTCAGGCATACGTAGCACGTGGCCGAACCATCTCAGTCGACGGTGAAAATATCACGCTACGAACAAGTCAAGTGTACTAAACTTTGTCATGATAGCAAAATTCTTACCTCAAATCAATTCTATCATAGAAATTGTTCTATTATAGCTATAATTGATTGACTGAATGAACGAAAACACAACCATCATTACTGATTATGTTATACTCAGATGATATGACAATGTGGAGTTTGTCTCCAGTCTCAATAAGACACAATTTCTTATTTAGCACTTACAACGTAGTTTTTGGCAGCTGTTTATTATCACTAACCCTAATACATGACAGAATTTTCTTTTGAGTATTGAGTGTATCTTATCTTCTTTCTTGAGTAAATCAACGCTCGAGATTATGATCATTCAAATAAAAACCTCTTACTAAAACTGTTGGGATATTCGGAAAAATATACCAATAATTATCATGTTAAGTCTAATGGTGTCCTTGGACTTTAAATGGACATTCCCTATTAGCCGGTATTTATTTCACTCGTTAAATATTGTACAAAGGTTGTTTTCTATTTTATGGTACGATGTGGTTTGTTTGGTTGGTATATAAACAGAGTATGTTTGAAATATAATGATTCATATCTCAGAGGCTGAAACTTGTGTTCTGAACTCAACTGGCTGGGCTAGACAGCGAAGCAGGGCCAGTCGAGACTCTAGGCCGTTCGTGCATGTTTTACGTGTCATTGATCCGATTGATAAATACGCTGAGCATCTAATCTGCAGGCACAAGATACAACAAAAACTGAAATTCATATCAGAAGGGTGTTTTGTGAATATTATAGTAATTTCGATGGTTGAGATCATGAATCAAATGAAGCTAAACCATCATGGAAAACGGCCGTTCATTACTTCCATATTTTCCATGGTGATCTAGCTTCAATTGATTCAGGATCTCAACCATTGACAAAAACTGAAATTCTTTATGATAATCATAACATTGAACTTCATATAATCTTATATTCCTGTAGTATATAAGTTAAGAAATGGAATAGGATTGTAGTGAACAAGAACAAAAGTGGGGGTCAATCAAGTTATATTCAAACAAACAGAATCTCTTAGTAAAATCTAAGAACCATGTTGTTAATAGTCCATTTGTAAAATGTCAATCAACTGTCTAAGACTTCATTGTTCCTTCATTTCCACACCAATCATTCTTTGTTCTCGTTCTCTTTTCTTTGATCTTAACATTCTACCGTCAGGCATCTCACTTTCTATTGATAATACATACTACTTATATCTGTCGATATCAGTAGCACAACAACACAGGATGAATGCAGAGTAGAAAGCTGATTGTTTGAAGTAAATATAAGTCATAGCTAGTGATAACTATTTTTTTCATTTAAACGTGTTATTCATCATAAACAGATGTCAGCTAAAGAGTATTAGGTTTCTGCTCCATCTTGGTTTCAAACTCAACACGAAGGTGTTCATCATCATACATAAAGAGCAATAAGTTAAACAATAGAAGAATTATGCAGTAAATCATAAATAACATTAGTTAAGGACTTCTATAAGACATATTGAGTTGAGTTTAAAATATGGTTAATTGTAGTCTAAGCAAAGATGAATAGTGGCTAGTAGTGGAATCCAGTTTGACGAGTGTTTCGTCCCATTTGGGATTCGTCAGCTGGATGTACCCGCATCAGAGTTGATGTTCACTCTGGGACTCGAACCCAGTACCTAGACTCTAGGATGCAGGTACATCCAAATGACGAGTACCAAATAGGACGAAGCACGCGTCAAACCGGATTTTACTGCTAGCCACTATCCATCTATGCTTAAAAAGCTTGTGACTTAAGGCTATATCGAAGCAATCCGTGCAGGATACACATATGCCAACAAGAAACAGATCAATTGCAATCCTAAATAACAATGGGAAGATACAAGTAAAACAACACCAATTGAATTTAATTGCAGTCTAACTGAATGTTCTACAGATTATGTGTTTACCATGAGATATATGAATTTTTGATTAAGATCATGAATCGATTGATGTTAGACCATCATTGAAAACATGAAAGTACTGGACGGCCGTTTCATCCTATGATATGCAATACTGAGGAGTTGCATACTAACACGAAACGTCTGTTTACTGCTTACAATTTTTCAATAGTGATCTAACATAAATCGTTTCATGATCCCAATAAATAAATAAAAAAACTAAACAATCTCCACAATCCCATACTGATAATAAATGAATATCTCATTTCATATCTGTACACATCTTCAACCTCTCAGACAAGAATGAACACAACTATCCAATGCTACTTGTAAGCAATGATGGATAGTGGCTAGCAGTGGAATCCAGGACGCACGTTTCGTCCTATTTGGGACTCGTCAGCTGGATGTACCTGCATCTCAGAGTTGATGTTCACTCTGGGACTTGAACCCAGTACCATTCGCTTCGAACGCCATAGCTTGTGAATTAAGGTAATATCGAGTTATACGCACAGTATACACATATGCCAATAACAGACTGATCAATTGCAGTCCTAAAAAATATCTCAATGGGAAAATACAAGCCAAACAATACCAAATGTATCCAATGCTACTTTTGATTGAATAGTTGAATTCATGAATCATTTGAAATGAGACCATCATGGAAAACATGAAACCACTTAGACAGCCATTTCGTCCTATTTTGGGACTCCTCAACAGCGTACAACCATGATCCTGCTCACAGGATTCCACTGCTTATAGATAAATATATATATTCATAAACACACACACACACACATTCATACATACAAAATACAGTTTAGTTTTGTAATCTACATTTAACTAACCTTTGCCAATCCATGTAATACATAGAATTTGATATAAAACTATATAACATAGAATATGACATAATGTATTCATTATAGTTTAGAATAATAATGGTTATGTAATCCGATTACATGTATTACAATCAATTAAAAGGTATCCCCAATAGTGAACAATGGCAACAAATGACAACAATGACATTGATCTGGACACTATGTTTTTTTCCTTTTATATAGATATTGATTGATTGACTAGTCGATCAATAATGTGTGTCTATACATAGGTGTGTCATTGATTCGTTTTGTTTTTCTAAAAAAAAAAAACTTTCCTTCAATATTAGAAGGTAATTTATACCCCTTTTTTGACCTGTCTATCCACTGAAGATTAATCTTAAGGTATATAATTGAATGGATAATTTGATAAGAAGAGATACGGACATGTAGGAGTGAAAACAGATTCAAAAGAAGGAGAGGGGGGATATAAAAAGGGGTTTTGTAGTGATGCTCTGTGTGGTTTATATCTATTTTTCATTGTGAAAGGATAATATATGAAAAGCGCCATATAAATCGTTCGATTTATGTGAGGGCTGAGATACTGCCTAGGTTTTTTTGGTGGAGTTTTGTTCTCTGAGCTGGATGGTTTGGTCGTGGAGCTTTCATCGTTCTTCTGAACGACATCATCAGCACAAACTTCAGATAGAAGTCCAGGTACCCAGGTGCTCAAACTGAAGAAGGTGGTATTTTTAGGGGGCCATTCCTTGAGCCTTTAACCTAGAGATCTAATCTACAAGACAATTGAGCAATGTGAGGAGATGCAGTCTGATGGTAGCCGGTAACCAATTGTTCATTCAGGATACTGGAGACCATGTGCACCATTGGTTTGGAATGAAGGTTTTCCAACCTCAATAGGTGGATCCACCGTGTCCACCAACCCTGTTTAAGCCCCCATCGGTCATTCTCTTTTCGTCCTCTCAATTTCGTAAATAACACCGCCACCACTTGAAAGCAGTGAGTAGGACTTCCATAGTAGTGGCTGTATACGAATGGCCATACGAGAGCCTTTCAAGAGGGAGATTGAACTCTCCCCACTCTCGGTCATACCAAGGCATTTGGGAGCTTGATCAACCCGATAAAATCAAATCACTAAATCAGGATTTGGGATATCTTTCTTTATAACATCAAATCTTGGATTGTCAATCGAATAGAATACTTGAATGAGTTATGTGATGAAAAGTAATAAATTACTGATGAGACTGGTCTTCAAATCTCAGTTAAATAGGTTTTAAAAGACAAAACCTATCATTAGCTAATTGAGTAGTACATAAACTGAAGTTATTATTATCAGAATAGGGATTTATAGAGATTGTATTAATTTGAACAGTTGAATTCATGAGTCGATTTAAGTTCAAAACTACCATTGAAAATCTAGAAACGTTGGACGACCGTTTTATTCTGGTATTGGACTCTTCAACAATGCACACTACTGAAGTTCTTATATTGATGTAAATAATAGTTTCGCTATGAGTTGTTAATCCATTAGCAAATAGATAATCAAAAATGAAAAATAAAGATCATAAAACAATCAATATGCATTGACTACAGCTATGGTTTGTCAATCATGTACAGCAGTGGCAATATGTTTTAAGTTATTTATCGTCATGAATTAACATCAGAATAGTCACTAATCTTTCATCCCATTAGGGAAATTCCTAATTAATATACACTAGCGAACTTATACAAGAATAAGCCACGACATTCATTTTATGCTCGAACGACGTATAAATGAATGATAACAGCTAGGAATCATTTATGGACTATTATTACATATATTCCTATTAGATAACTTTTAAGTATCAGTATAGGAGTTGTGGAGATTATTAAGTTTTTGATTGAGATCATGAACCGATTGATGTGAGACCACCGTTGAAAAAGTGGGAGCACTGGACGACTGTTTCATCCTATTGTGGGACTCCTCAACAGTGTGCATCTACGATCCCGACCATGGGATTCGAACTCAGAACCCTCAGTTTCGCGCGCGAATGCTTAACCTCTAGACCACTGAGCTAACCGTCATCCAACCATGTTAATGTCTAATTTCAACCAATCCACGAAATTGTGCGACCATCTTCCATTGTTCGGAAGTAGATACCTGTCTCTACCCTACACAGATTAGCTCCACTGGTCACGGCTTCTCACTAGAACTCCGAGAATTCCGTCACGAAGCTAATCACTAGTGAGCACATGGTAATTATCAGTATAGGTTTGTGGATATTATTAGGTTTTTGATTGAGACCAGTGGACCTAATCCGTGTCGAGTGGAGACAGGTATCTAACTCAGTACGATGGAAGATGGTCGCGCAATTTCGTGGATTGATTGAAATTAGACATTAACACCGTTGGATGCCAGTTAGCTCAGCGGTCTAGAGGTTAAGCATTCGCGCACGAAACCGAAGGTTCTGAGTTCAAATCCCATGAGCGCAATCGTGGATACACACTGCTGAGGAGTCCCGAAACAGGACGAAACGGTCGTCCACTGCTTCCAGGTTTCCAACGGTGGTCTAACATCAGTCGGTTCATGGTCTCAATCAAAAATAATTTTTAAGTGTTGGAGATATTAGATCCCTAGAACGTATTTGGGAAATACCCAATTTTTTAATTCTGTTTTAAAAATTTGAATTTCGACTCAGTGGTCCAGTAGGTTAAGTATTCGCGCGCGAGACTGAAGGTCCTGGGTTCGGGTGCCGAGGATGGGATCGTGGACGCGCACTTCTGAGAAGTCCCGTCCACTGCTCCCAAGGTTTTGCTCCCTAATGCCCTGGTATGGCCGGGAGTGGGGAGGGCCCACCCTCCCTTTCGAAATGCCCACACATGTATACAGCCACTCCATGGTAAATCCTACTCACTGCCTTCTCACGGTGAGGGTTTTGTTTACGAAATCGAGAGGACGAAAAGCGAATGTTCTGCGCTTTAACCGGATTCCAAACCAATGGTGCACATGGGCTACAGTATCCTGAAAGAACAAGTGGCGTATGGACCTATTGTTTGTCACGGACTACCATGGGATCGCATCTCCTCACGATACTCAATTGCCTTGTGGGTCAGACCTTCAGGTCGAAGGCTCGGGGATTGGCCCCCTAAGAAAACCACCTGCTTCGGTCTGGGCACCCGGACATTATCACAGCCCACACACAAATAGAATGAAATGACGATATTTACGTAAAATACTATTCTTGCTTCGATTAACAATCAAACGATTCACATTATTGTTATCATTACTATTATTAATTACCACGTCACTTATTCAGTCTCTTTTATTCCCACTTTATGTATCCAAAGTTTCTGTTGTAACGTGTGAGACTGCAGGTTTTGATAAGCAGCGTATTTATCGATCGCTTCTGTGACAGTGGACACGCAAACACGTAGTGGACGACCTAGTGCCCTGATTGGCCCTGCTTCGCTGTCTGTCCTAGCCAGTTGAGTCAAGAACACAAGTCACAGCCTCTGGGTTATGAATCACTATATTTCAAACATACTTTGTTTATATACCAATCAAGCATACCACATTGTACCATAAAATAGAAAACAACATTTTGTACAATATTCAACAAGTGAACAGATATCGACCAATAGGAAATGTTCATTTAAAGTCCAAGGACACCATTGGACTTAACATGATAATTATTGGTCTATTCCTCCGCATCGACAACAGTTTTCGACTTACACAGCAGCTCGCCTATGGTGGAAACTCAGTTCCATCTAAACGTTCTCGAGCCACTGACTGGTTGGAAATTGTATGCTACCACCAAATACGAATACTGAAGCACTTTTTCTGAAACCACGCGCACCATTCAAACTGGCTGCCTTCAACGTTCGCACACTAACGCAGGTCGGACAACAGATAGGGCTGGCTAGTTCTTCAGAAAGTCTTAATATCGACGTCTGTTTTCTATCCGAGACCGGTATTCAAGACTCTGATGAAGTACTACAAATTCGATCTCCATCTGTCGCTTCAAAAAGCTTATTTCACTTGATTTTATCCGGAGACCCTGTGGCTTCCTCGTTTGGTTTTGCTGGTAATTGTATCACACTAAGGGCTAGTACTGAGGTAGCACTGATCTATCGGGTCCCCATTAACAGTCGGTTATGTACTGTTAGATTAGAAAGTTACATCAAAGTGAGAAGAAGTTGGAGTGAGAAACGATGTCTTTTCGTCATCTCCGCCTATGCCCCGACAGATTGCAGCCCGGATGCAATCAAGGATGAGTTTAACCACCAGTTAACAGTTCTTCTACAGAAAGTGCGTTTGACAGATATTGTAGTACTAGCCGGAGACTTGGATGCTCAGGTCGGGCGTCTAGGCACAGAATAGAGTCGTTTAGGTGGCCGATGGGGACTTGTTGGTCGCAGGTCAGATAACGGGGACCGTCTACTGCAACTGTGCACAGACCACAACCTGTTTCTGGCTAGCACTAACTTTCGGCACAGTCATCGCCGATGTGTCACCCGGCGTCCTCCCTCTGCATCTCAAGCCTGGACTCAGATTGATTACATCGCGATCAGCTACAGCTGTCGTGGTTGTGTACAAAACTGCCGCTTTTTCTTGAGTACCTATTTGGACTCTGATTATGCCCTGGACTGCCCTAATCTTACCTTACTTTTCAGTGGACAACGAAGTGATCGTCGTCAAAGGATTGATGTCAGCAAATTGATTGCAACTTCCGTTGTAAGTAAGTGTTGAACCGAGCTAGCTTCTAGGCCAGCTACCATCCCACCGAAAAACATAGATGAGGATTGGTTGCAACTGCACGACGCCATGAAAATGGCTTCGCGAAACATCCCGCTTGTAAGCTCCTTACAGCTTATTGCAGCCCGTCAGTCTACTCTGGGTGACCGTGAGTTTGACCACAAACAAGGATTTCCTTCTCGTGGCATTACTGTTATTTACGAAATTGAGGACGAAAAGAGAATGTCCTGTGACGACTTTAACCGGGTTGGCGGACATAGAGAATCCACCTAGGGGAGATGGAAAACCTCGATCCCAAACCAATGGTGCACATGGGCTCAAGGATTCGGGTGTGGCCTCCTAAGAAAACAACCTGCTTCGGTCTGGGCACCCTGGCAGTATCTTAATGGCTAGTAGTGGAACCCAACATGTGCTTTTCGTCCTATTTGGGACTCGTCAGCTGGATGC